TTTTTTTTTTTTTTTTTTTTTTTTTTTTTTTTTTTTTTTTTTTCAGTTTGATAAAGATTTAATAAATATTTAGTTTTGGCTTTGGCAGACTCATGGGAGGTGTAGTTGTTAAAATCGTAGGTGAGTTTCATGGGGAGGTAGTAACAGGCATAATGTCAAATGCAAGCCAAGTTTATTTATACAGCACATTTCAGCAGCAAGACAATTCAAAGCACTTAAAACATTAAAAGTGCAACAGAGACACATTATAAAAGGTAAAATGAGATTTAAAAAATAACTTGAATTAGAATGCATTGTACAAGATGGGAAATAAAAATTATTAAATAAATTATAATATTAATAATATTTAAATCAGTTCACTCTGTTCTTTTCTTTTCTACACCAGTGGCGGGGATTTTAATATTTGTAAGACGAAAACAATTTTGCCTCGAGTGTGCACTGCCTTGGTCTCTGAGGCGGTGAATAAGCAAAAGAGAATCGACTTTTCACGACACACACAGACTCATCACCAGTCGCGACTACACCAACATTCTTTCAGCTACTAAGCTCCAGTTTTAGTTGATAATTTAGCAGCAGTACTTTTTAATTTTTGTTCTGATCAGCGTACTCTTTTCACCGTGACAGGCGGCAGTGTGTCGATGCAGTCAGCCTCTCTCTGGGTTCAGCGCGCGGTGCTTAGAGGATGAGAGCATGCTGCAGGCCATCAGCAAGGCCAATCACAACAGCCGATTCGTCTACGTCATGGATACCAGGCCAAAGGTAGCAGCCGAGCCGAAACCTTCTTCTGAAATGCTTTAAATGTGCTGTGTGTGTAGAACTGGGTTCAATGCTACATAAATATTTTGAAAAACAGAGTTGCAGATGATTTGCAAATGATTTAGTTTCATGTGTGTGTTCTCTCTGTCCCGCAGTTGAATGCGCTCGCTAATCGAGCAGCGGGTAAAGGCTACGAGAACGAGGATAACTACTCCAACATCCGCTTCCAGTTCGTTGGCATTGAGAACATCCACGTAATGAGGACCAGCCTGCAGAAATTGCTCGAAGGTTTAACACATGTCGCTGCACAAACACAAATGTCATTTGCATTTGTCGTAGATTATAAAGGGGCACTTTAATGGTAACAAAGTCGTCGATTTTTTTTCTGAAGTGACTGTGTGTATTTCTCAGTGATTGGGACTCGGTCTCTTTCCATGAGCGACCACCTGGTTGGCCTGGAGAGTTGCGGCTGGCTGCGGCACATCAAGGCTGTCATAGATGCAGCTATCTTTCTCAGCAAGGTAGAACATTTCCCCTTTCCTGGCTCCTTGATTTTAGATTCTCTAGATATGAATTTCGTTGCACATTAACATTGTTTTTATTGAAGGTATGCAAGTGTTTATCTCAAGGACTGCTTACTATCTTTTATTTTTATGCCATAATCCTCTACTGTCTGTCTTCACCTTTGACCCCAGGCGGTGACAGTGGAAGGAGCCAGTGTGTTAGTTCATTGTTCAGACGGATGGGACAGAACATCCCAGGTCTGCTCACTGGGGGCGCTGCTCATGGACCCTTACTACCGCACTGTCAAGGGCTTCATGGTACCGACCACACACACACACATATGCACACACAGTTTGGCACTAGTGAAATAATATGAGCTGACTTTTCTGCTAATTAGTGTCTCTCTTGCTTCAAATGTGCTCTATCCTCACACTCGTCGTCTAGGTACTGATAGAGAAAGACTGGATCTCCTTTGGCCACAAGTATGCCGACAGGTGAGGCTTCAACTGGATCAAATAAGCCAGCGTATGTACTATTTATACTACTTAGTTCTTTAATGGTTATCATGTGACTATTACTGTGTTTGAATTGTTTACCTTAGGTGTGACCAGTTGGACGGGGATCCAAAGGAGGTGTCCCCCATCTTCACTCAGTTCCTGGAGTGTGTCTGGCAGCTGACGGAGCAGTTCCCGCAGGTGTGTGGGAGCTGTATTTACGCAGACTTATGCGTCATATATGCCGTGTGCTTATTGTATTTATTTAATGACACCCCCCCCCCCCCCCTCTATAGGCATTTGAGTTCAGCGAGTGGTTCCTGCTGCAGATTCATGAGCATGTCCACTCCTGTCAATATGGGAACTTCCTTGGCAACAATCAGAGACAGAGAGAGGACTTGCGGTGAGTCCAAGGCTCTGTGCAGCCTTGCTTCTATTGCACAGATAACGACATACAGGATAGCGTTTCTGTGCTCACTAAATTCTACATTGATTTCCACACATGCAACAGACACACACCATCAATCCACATTGAACTGGTCGCTCTCAGTTATGTCCAATAGGATAACATTACTGCCCGTTTAGCGGCTGCCGTCTGCAGCGTTCTCCCTCATTACTCGACCAATTTCAAAAATCCTTGTCCGCATCAGTCACTTCGACACAAAATCATGGGGAAAATATGGTCCAGGTTGAAAAGTGACCCTTTTTAGATTTGTGATTCAACTGTGGCTGAGAGCAATGGATTCAAATGAGTGTTGGGCATTGTTGAGAGAGTTGGATGATAATGAATGGGAAAGCTTGGGTCGAAACAATGAATGGGAGTCCAGATGTATGTCATCAAACACCAGCTACCTATATAGTGGCTAAAAGTACGTTTTTACTTGTGAAGGCAAGAGAGAGAGAAAAGATCAATTCATTTGAAAACCTTCTTCGTCTTTAAATGTGTTGTGTGTCTGTCTAACTGCTGTTTTGTGTTTCAGGCTGAGAGAGCGGACCCACTCACTGTGGGCATTTCTAATGAGTGAAAAACAGAACTACCTGAATCCGTTCTACAGCACTGCGTACTCTGAAACACACCCCGTGCTGGAGCCTTCCACTCTGCCCTACCATTTCAAGTCAGTACAGCCCCCCCCCCCCCCCCCCCCCCCCCCCCTCTTCCCCCCACCACCCCCCCCCCCCCCCCCCCCCCGGCTATTGTTACATATTTAAAAAGCCATACTTCAATTGACCCTGGCATCTTACGGATGTTTTTTGTTTACAAGGTTCTGGAGGAACATGTACCACCAGTTTGATCGGTCTATGCACCCACGTCAGTCTATCCTCAAAACCGTTCTAACTCTGAGGGAGAACAGCCGCAAGGCAGAGAGCACATTTCAAGCACTGGAGAATGTGAGTTCCTACACACGTCATTATCTATAAAGAGACTATTTGGAAATTCTTAAATAGAAATAATCCCTTAAGATGCACAGTCTCGTGCCCGTGGGGATCCTTAAAGACAAGTTAGACAAAAGCTTTCACAAAAAACTAAAATGACAACAAGATCAATGATACCAAATGAGTCAAAATATAATAATGAGACAGTTAGGGCACTGAAGAAACACTTTGTTGCTGGTGTGTTTTGTTTCATTCTGTGTAGATATATGCTGTTGTCTTTTTATTTTTATAAATGAAATCCCATTTCTTCAGAAGCCACAGTTTCAATTATGTTTGTTTTGTTTTTTTACTTGTGTGGTTAACAAAATAGTTTTTCTTGTGACAATGGAGAAACAAATGGTGGACCAGCATAACTTTGGGATAACAGGGTAATTATCTCGTTATGATCAATGTTGTTCTCTTGCGATGAGATGAAATAAGTTACTGAAAATCCTTTTACTTTCCAAAAACATTTTTAGTGGATGCACATAAAATCTAACCTACCATATCAGAATATAAATATCAGTCTTGAAACACGTTTCATATTCAAACTGATAATGTTAGTTAGAGCATGACGGTTAAAAGGTGAAGAGTAAATGACAGCATTTACATGTTTCATTTCTGAATGAAAACGTCCTTCTCTTTCTCGTCTCTCCAGCGGCTCCACCAGCTCGGTGTCACCCCCATTGTGACCTCTGACCCTCCTCCGCCCACCAGAGATCAGCGCTCAAACTCCAACAGCATCCCGCCGCGTCCCGATTCCCTCATTCTCGGGGCACCCATAAACCACAAAGAGGTGCAGCGACAGGAGGAGGAGGACCAGCAGCAGCAGCAGCAGCAGCAGCAGCAGCAGCAGGAGGAGGAGGAGGAGGAGGAGGAGGAGGAGGAGGAGGAGTTGGGCGAGGAGGCCACAGAGAGCACTGACACGGAGCGGACAGTGGAGGGCAGCAGCGGCACCGAGAGCAGGAAGCAGAGCTACGGAGAGCTGGAAGGGACATACAACAGCGAGTCGGCAAAAGAGGAACCGGCGGTTGTCAGCCTGGAGTTTGGAGTGGCACGCATGACCTGCTGAGACCAAACAGGGGGATTGTGGGATGCTGAGGGAAATGCGCGGCTTACTGAAAGTGTGTGTGTGTGGCAAGGGGAAGCTGTCGTTCTGTATGTGATAACCTGCTGATTGCGCAATGGTCCTGAATGGGCAGAATGAATGAAGTTGTATGTGTGTATAGTCTAAATCTCAATGGAAAGCGTCATTATTATGTCATATACTGCACCTATAGGGGGAAAAAAAAGAAAAGAAAAAAGCTTGTTTTTTTTTTATGAATGTTAAAAAGCACTATAGAGAACTAATGAATAGAATAAGAGAATAAATTCATCCAAAAAATAGTGACTCTTCTAGTTTGTTCAGCATTTTATATAATCCTAAGCATATGACCTCGATATTCTCAACAAATACTCGTATTTATCCGCATGAAAACCCACAGAAAATCACTTTTTTTGGCACCAGTAATATTTCATCTGGTCCAAAGGCTTGAAACCAGCCTAATCTGAATGTTGTTTGTGACCTGAGCTGATTTTGCATCAATGTGACTGATTGAAAAAAATAAAACATCAAATTCTACATCAGCAAAGATAATCTGGCACTGGAAACTATGCTGAGCCAAAATTTGGCCTCAATTCTAACTGACTAAACGCAGTTTTTATATAAGTAGTCACTGGTCCTTTAACTATTACTGTCACAATGGACAAATGAACTGTGACGATCAGACCCTGAAGAGGTTCAGCTGTCTTCCTCATTGATCATTTAACCCTATTTTACATCTCGCATTGATTAGATAATCCGACTTACTAAAGTGCATTGATCCCAAAATCCTATTGGTCATTTGTCGTTATCATTTTTATACACCCTTATTTTAACAAGGTTAACTGCCCTCGGGATGTGGATTGTTAATTTAGGTCTGAATTTCATATTTATATTCAAGCCAGAGTGTGTGTGTTGGCTCCGCTTTTATTAAAGACCATAATAAATTCATTCCAGACCGAGGTTGTAACTTTGCTTCATATCGGAGCTCAGGAAGGATTTGATCTTTATTGGATTGAATTTCCTGTACAGGCAAACATCTTCCTCTATCAGATTGCTGCAGAAGGACTGTGTGTGTGTGTGTGTGTTTGTAGGTGTGTGTGTGTGTGTGTATCTGCAAATTCATGATAATCTACATTAATTTGATTTGTGTCGTGCATGGCACTCAAGGGAACAAAGCTAACTTCACAACAACAGAGCACCTTATGTGCTTCTACATACTTTATGGAATTTGTGCTGGCAGCACTGGCAGTGAACTAGTTCCTTCTGAAGCGCCACTCTCTTTATCGTCCTAGGAATAAATAGAGTTTTGTGCTCACACAGCAATCAGACAAAGTGGCCACTGGCCTCAGATGAACCAATGTCTATGAGCAGCTACAACAACTTGCAATAAAGATGGACTGGCAGTGTGATGTGTCAGCTTAATCCAAAGCTCCTTTCTCTTTACAATCAGAGGAAAAAGGACACAATAAGTGACGCACAGAGTAAACACACATTTAGAAGAATGAAGAATAGGGTTTTTAGCCACCTTAAATTCACTTTTCATTCATATTTTAACTCTCTTGTTCTCGCAAAGGTTTCTCTAACTTCAAATTTTTATAATAACGGTAACGTACAGTTAAATGTTCATCCCTCACATGTGAATTAACAGTCAATGCTGTCAATTAACCATAACAGCAGACTACTGTAATTTATCAGCATAATACAGTATTGTGGTGGAAATATGCTTCTCTATACAAGTTCAGTGAATCACAATCCATATACATTGTACTGTCGATTGTAGGTTAATGTGTCTGTAATGACGATAGAATATTTTGTATTAGTCAAACTGTTCATTGCCTAAAAGTCATTTTTGAGTCTCAAGACGTGACCGACTGCTCGTGAACGTGACTTTGGAGCACAGCTTCAGTTCATCCTTCTGAGCAGCCATGTGGAGATCAGTCGAGGAGCCGAGGTCAAGTTACGCTTATAAGCCGAAATTCAAAGTCTCCAGTATTGTTTTGTCTTCATGATTATTGAACTGTTAACATCTTAGATAATGTTTTACTTGGTCTGTTTTGTTACATTAGGTTGATAGCTAGCTCGAGCTCAATTAGCCTTAGAAAAGTTAGCTAGATAACAGCATAGCAAGTTAAGTTAGCATAAATAAAGTTAATCACCAATTACAGTGTAACGTTAGTAACCTAACTTGTGTTTACTTGTGCTCTTATTGAACCGACTAGGACCGCAAACAGGACGATTATCAAAATGGAGGGGACCAGAAATGGCTGACGTGTGTTCAAGACGATGAACAGTTGAGGTAACGCTAACAGTAACATTACCTGTGTGTTATCTCAGGAGCAACATTAAAACTAGATCAAACTCATTTTAGTGTTGAACGTTAGTCCATTGTGGTCCATTGTCTTAGCTTCATTTCGTCACCTAACGTAATCGGCTCATCGTATAGGCAAGTCTGTTAATTTAAACTGTATGGTATTGTTGTATTAGCTTTTTGCAAAGACTTGCACTGATATGTGAACATGTGTGAGGCACATGCGAACCCACAGTTGCACACCCAAAGCTTATTTTAAGTGTGTTTATCCTGGATGTCATAGAACTTTCCAAAAGTTCAGAACATTGTGTTTCTAAAGTTTTTATTTTGTTTGTTTTACAGTCACTCGTCATCAGAGATTGAGGATACCAGCCAGACACTGCAGTCAAGTCCTCTTTTAAGGTGTTCTCTCTTTATTGTTTTCATTCATGTGTGAGTTCATGCAGTTCAAATTAACTATAAATGTGTATAAGACTTGTTTACAAGCTAGACTGTGATGCAGTTCTATTACACTGTTCTTGATACTATTTTAATTCAGCGTTTCACTCTTAATGCTATTTTAATTCAGTGTCTGAGGGAGTGACACTGAGATCAAAAAGTGTCTGATGGTATGTCACTGTTGTTCCCCGGTAGATACCTATACCTGGATTGGTATGTCACTGTTGTTCATCGGTAGATACCTATACCTGGATTGGTATGTCACTGTTGTTCATCGGTAGATACCTATCCCTTGATTGGTATGTCACTTATTCATCGGTAGATACCTATCCCTGGATTGGTATGCCACTGTTGTTCATCGGTAGCGACCTATCCCTGGATTGGTATGCTACTGTTGTTCAGCGGTACCTATCCCTGGAGTGGTATGCTACTGTTGTTCAGTGGTAGTTACCTATCCCTGGAGTGGTATGCTACTGTTGTTCAGTGGTAGTTACCTATCCCTGGAGTGGTATGTTGTTCAGCGGTAGTTACCTATCCACAACAGTGGTATACCATTTTTGGGGATAGGTACGATCTCGGCGCTACTGGTCTGAGGTTATCCTCATGAGTTCAGTTAAGCCGGCCATTAAAGATTTTATGATTGTATTAGTTTTCTTCTAAACATGCAGTACAGTGTGAGTTTTGTGATGTAATACAAATGTCCCTTTATTATTTGTCTTGAGAACATGTATTAAACTGCAACAATTATGTATTGAATGTCTATTCTTATTCTTTTATTTGTTGTGAATTAAATGCAAAAATATTGGGGTGCATTACCTTACTTTGTAAATAAACGGTAATATTCTGGCATATACATTAAAATCACCGTAAAACCCAGTTATCCTACTATCACATAACGTAATCCAATATATGGTAAGATACCGTAAATGTAAATTACGGTAGCTTCACCATAAAAAAAACGTGAATTACTGGCGTCCCTACTGCCAGTAAATTACCATTATTTTACGGTGAAATTGTTTAGAGTGTAGGTTTATTTATTAGAGTTGCTTGCGTTGGTGTGTTCATTCAAGTTGAAACATCAAAGTACTAATAAGAACAATAATTATTTGCTTTAAGGCGTTATAGCTTTCAATGATGCATGCTTTCTATTTGTAATGTTGACAAAGCCGTAAGTCAGGTTAATGCACCTCTAACACTATGGCAATACCATCTCTGTTGGAGAGGTCTTCCTGTAGCCTACTTGTGCATGTTACCTCACATTAAATATTGAGGAGCTGTGGGCTCTCCGGGGGCATTGAATCATTCAGAAGAGTACTGCACGCCATGCTGGGAGAACACTCCTGAGGACAAGGAGGGACTACTGTACCTACACTCAACATAAACGCTAGTAGTATGCAAAATGTCCATATACAAAGAGCCCACATTGATATGCATACTGTATACACACGTTATATGTAGATGTTGCACATGCAGGATGCACATGACATGTGTTTGTAGTGCAACTACACTTATCCAGCTACTCACTTGTGTAATTCATTAACGTGTTTCTCTGCTACATGACGCATCTCTTTGGGTTTTTTGCTCTATGATTATTGTGCAGCATGCACATGGAGAAAGTATAGAGCTCTTTAATGGCAGAAATTTGGACTTGTTAGAGTCGGAAAAGCGAAGGTATTGAGCCGGCATACATGAAACCAGGACTCTGGAACTGGTAAACCTAAATGGAGCCATCGTTAATATTGTCACTTACACATGTGATTTTCATGCTATGATGAGCCACAGTCTGCTGCAAAAACGGTCAATAATGTGCAGAAAAAGTTGTCACCGAAAATATTTAATTGGAAAGATCAACATAGCTGGACTAGACAATTATTCTGGTTATTATTATTATTTATTTTATTGTAATTTATGTATCTAACATGTGATAGTTTGGGTTCTTTGGGCCCACATGCTCATAGAGACATTGACAGGACACCGAGTGATAATAATGAAGAATGTGTGTGTGATCTGAACACACTGGGTGTGTGTTTGCACTGTGTAACCGACAAACGATGGACAAGCAGCTACACCTGTGCCATGTTTGCATTATCCATCTTTTACTACGGTGTGTACACTATTGTACCAATGCTTCAATCATATTGCTGGCAGAAACTACATCTTATTTTGTTGATTTTATTAGTCTCAACTTTGACATGTGTCACACACTCCCACGCACACCTGATCTTGATTTAAAGCATTCTACTGTCACCACATCATTCAATATCTTGTTTAATTAAAGCTTGTTTCCTTGTCATTCAACTTTAATGACTGACAAATATGAGTTGGCCAATGCTGTCAAAGGTGAATATGATGCTACAAGCACATTCTACTTCTCAAGGCTTCAGCTCTCCGCCACCGTGTTTACTTTGGAAAGACAACTAACATGTTACTGCGTCACCAGCCTGCGCAGGATAAAAACACTGGCTCAAATCACAGCATGTTACATACTAAAATGCAACAATTCAGCAGGTCAATTGTCTGATATTTCCGCGACTGTACATGCTGTCACTCATACAAGGTAATATGGGGCGTTTTACATGACAAATTCAATAATCTTTGGCTCAATGGGCAATGCCTCACTCACCCTAACCAGTAATGTCAGCAGATGTTTTAACTTTAGCAGATGATGAAAAACACCAGCCATGAACTTTTTAGCTGGCGTGTTGCCACAAGCAGTGCTTCAGCACAGATTAAAGGCTTGACAAGGAGGAGCAGAGTGCACTGAAACTAAAGCTGCGGTGAAGAAAAAAGACAAATGCATTTCGTTAAGCTAGAAATTTGCATCTCTGGAACATTTTTGCCTATGCTGTGCACCTTTATTTTAATTCCAAAGAATGACATACAGGAAAATCAGGCAAGTTATGAATATTATTTGAATTAACTTATGCTCACTCTGTCACCAGATCAAGAATACACCTGGTGTTGAGCATATTATCATAATATAGTCGTCCATCAATCAATCCATTGCTTCATGCATGTGCTTTTAACAGTGCATCAATATTTGCATCCTGGCTCTTTAGCAGAGCATGGAGAGTGTAAAAGCAAAGTCAGCAGCCACATGCAGGCGTATAGTGCAAAGGATACTCACACTGTGCACGAAGCCACATTGTTAGAAAACACAGTAAGCAGGAAAGAGAGGCAGAGAGAGAAAATGTCCTCTAACTGTCCCACTTAGTACTGAGCTTCACTCAGGGGGCTGAAATGGGAACCCTATTTAGACAGATGGGGCTGGGGGGGATGTATAGGGTGTGTGCTTCTTCTATTGCTTGTGTGCATGTGTCTATAGTTTTGCTCACAGTAATTAGAGAAAGAAATTAGTATTTGGTTGTGTCAAAAGCACATTTTCTTTAGCGTTTGTGTAAAATGAACCATAATATGCTTGTGGACCACCGTTACATAGAGGAGTAGCATCTTAATTTTCTGATAGTTAAGCCTAATATGTATCTCAAAGTGTAAGGGTTAATGTCAATAGGTATTGTCCTCTAAATTCTGTTGCTTTCCTACCAAATCCAACCTGGTTCAGCACTGTGAAATAGATTATGAAGGCCAGTACAGGCTACAAGATTTATCTGAATATACAAATATAACACCTTACTGATGTTGGAATGATTTAAGCAGAATGACGATGTGCATTTCCGCCATAAGAACTTAGCAAAATCCTTTGTCTCATCATGTGATAAGTGAGCCCAATCATCAGTCTACAGTCTTGGCCAGCCATCTGCTGCTTAGAGTCAGTTTCAAGTCCATCCAACAGCCGGCTGACCTGCTAGCACGGCTGTGGGGCATTCTGCTTGAGTATCTGATGTACCTGAAAACCTGCACACTAGGCGACTGACTGACTGGCAGGCAGACAGGCTGGGTGACTGACTTGTTGGCTGAGCGGACAGATTATCTTTCTTATTGGGGGCCAGCACAAGGAAGATATGCTTCAGCGCTCCACTCTGGGGAAGCCCTCAAAATGTGTTTGTGTGGGTGTGAGCATGTCTGTGAGTGTGTGTGTTGCCTTGGGCGGATGAATGCAGACATTGTTTGATAGCAGTGGGCTGGAAGAAGAGAGCCTGTGCCCTAAGCAACTGAGGAGGAGGAGGAGGAGGAGGAGGAGAGAGAAAAGGAGCAGGGGAGGGAAGGAAGGAGGGGAGAGGAGGTTTGTAAGTGGGTCGGGGTATCAGGGAGATTCATTGGGGGGTTGGGAGGATAGAATAGGCAGTAAAAAGAGCACCCACAGTGGAACACGCTCAGTATGAAAAAATAGGGAACTCTGGGTGAATCTGCTGCAGACCATTTGCTAATCATTGTTTCCTTAACATAGTGTAAAATCTAAAACACTTTACATATATATTATGTATATTTAAGACAACAAGAAAAGAAGAATAGCAGAAACTTGGCAACACATTAAGGCAAAACACTGCTTTTTCCTCCAGTTAGTGAACACTTCACTGTTCTACATGCCCACAGAAACTCTGCTTGTTGCCAAGGTGCTTACAGTACAGCTAATGTAAAAAGAAAGATTGTGCTGTTGGCTGCATAAGTGGTTACAAACACATGGACAAGCACACAAACACACACACACACACACACACACACACACACACACACACA